ACCGCGACAAGTCAGCGCCGAGAACGCTGACTTTCGTGGGAGCTTCTACTTTTTGTAGGGCAACATTTCTCTAGTTTCATTGCGTTTTCGAATAAGGAATACAGTTTTGGCTCCACTGGTCTGTTCAGATTTTTTCAAAGTTTCGACGTTCGTAGAGTATTTTCATTTATTTATTTATTTATAACGTTGTGCATAAGGCAAACGCAAGATATATGAAATCATACAACTCACGACCGTAGTTAACGATCAGTAAATGTTAAAGCTCACTAAAGCTCAACAATTGCTTCTTACTTATACGCTTGAAAAGTCGGAAGGTTAGAGGCGATATCACTACTGTAGTTTTAAGAGAAGTGAATTCAGATCCTGCACGACAAGCAAAGCTATAACGTTTTAGATTCGTTTTAGGAGTGGCATAGGATATTTTTACTGACCACCCTCTAGTTCTAGAGTTGACCAGACCAAAGAATTTGGAAGCATCAATTTTGGCAATACCCGACAACAATTTAAAGACCATGCAGACATCAAAATATTTCCTACGAGAGCAAAGCGAATGTAAATGGTAATCTCGATTCCTGCGAGACACATGAAGTAGTCTAGAATAATCGAATTCCCCTGATCTGATAAACATTTTCCGGGTGAAATTATTTTGGATTTTTTCAACTAATTGAATATCCTTCTTCTTATAAGGACAAAAGACCGATGTCCCACACTCCGCAATGGGCCTAATGTACGTTTTATAAGCTTGAACAAGGAGATCTTTATCATTAGTCGAAAGCCCTTTGAAAATCTGGTATGTTCTATAAGTAGCTTTCTTATAGAGCATATCCAAATGTTGGGAAAAGGACAGCTTATTGTCGTAGTGAAAACCAAGGTCCTTAACAGACGGGACACTCTCGAGAACATGATTGCCAAGTCTATAGGACCCTATCAGATTCGAAGATCCCAACCTCATGTACACAGTTTTTTCGGGTGCTAATAACAAATTCCATTGTTTAGACCATTCAGAAATAACACTTAAAGCATTTTGGATCATTCTTACATCATCCTCACTTTCTATCATCCTATAAATTATTTTTAATATTTTTGCGTCTAGGATCCATCGAGGGCGATGCTTGACCTCTCAAAAAGTCTGCTTCTTCTTCCCTCACAAGCCGTCAGGCGACCAACTTATCAACTGGAAGGCTAAAAAAGCAGGCTTCGGAGCAGGAAAGGTACCAGTGGTTCATTGCCTCAAGAAATTTTTGAATTGCAGGTGTGGTCGCAAAGGATTATTTTTGATGCCGCCATTTCCGAAGAATGGAGAGAAGTGAATTATTAACCGTTCACTTTTGAGTCTCCTAGCCCCAGTCTATCTCCTAAATTGATACACAAGAATTTTTCCTGGCGAGGAACCCGCTCATGATGCTATCAAGGTCCTAGCTGTCTGCCCGTTGTAGAATTGACAAATTCGATGGTGATCTTAGAGTTGTGAAGCGTGTGCATCCAGCAGCATTCCAGTCACCTCATTAGGAAAACCAACAATCCTTGCAATAACTGCATGCCAACTGATCCCTAGGAAGGTTCGACAACAACAGTTTAAGCACTCGGTTATGAACAAACATCTTAGCAGCTGATATATCACTATTCAATTGTTCTTCTCAGAACAACTACATGCGAGTAATTGGCGAACTTATTCCACTTCAATCTTCTAGGTGACATTCATCACGTCGGTGATAATCTAACGTTCCTCAACGATTGCCACATACATACGTCAGGTCAGACAACCTGCGTACAAACAGTGTGCGCTCCTAGCAGTAGCTGTCTATTATCCTTAACGAACCTGGTGATGAGATAATATAATGCATGGATAGTTTATAATGCAAGGAAACTCAATTGAATTAATCTCTGATCATTATGTTGGGTTCAGTTCCTAAAAAAGATAATGCCATCAATCAAACTTTTTTTTTGAGCACGCTTTTAATTTTATTTAGATTTCTAGGGGCTAAGAGGAAGTTCGATCTATTCAGTGAATTACGGGAAACAGCTGAGGTACAAGCGTTGCTTTAACTTCCACATAAATTCTTCCAGACTTCAGCAGGATGGCGAGTCTGCTTGAACTGGACTGCATACGATCCGGTCCCTGCGTGTGATAAACAACGCCACTTGCCACTTCACCCCTCCCTTTCTCTCTAAGTTATAGCCGATATGCATATAATAGATAGGTATATTACTTCATTTATTCCAGAGATCAAACATAGCGACTGCCAAAAAAGGGAGACAGGAATTTTTTCATAATGGATAATATCGGAGAACAGACTGCAGTTTTTGCCCAGTGATAATGACGTATGCGTTCGATCGGCTCTAACTTACAAGGCCATTTTGGCTCCATTGCTCTTCGTGGCAAAAAAAACCTCTTCGAACAGATTTCAAATTTTCTACAACAACGTTACGATCAGGAAGGCATTGGAGGTTCTCATGGGCGTATTTTTCATAACTAAAGTGCGCGTCAGTTGTTTATGTGACCCCCTTATTTTTAAGTTTTCAGACTTGTTTGGAAAGTCGG